CAGCCTCAAATTGATCAAGCTACTCCCACACTATCTGAACAAAATTGTAGTGTTCTGCATCCTTCTCCTTCCAATACTGTTCTAACCAAGACTCGTATGCGTTGGACACCTGAACTTCATGAAGTTTTTGTGGAAGCCGTCAATAAACTTGGCGGTAGTGACAGTGAGTGACTAATTGCTCCCCCTTTTTGGTTAATTGAGATTTTCAAGTTTGCATTGTTAATATATTTGGATTATTATGGTCTCACATTATAGGGGCCACTCCTAAGGCGGTACTGAAGCTCATGAAAGTTGAAGGGTTGACCATATATCATGTTAAAAGCCACTTGCAGGTATATGGAGATGTTTTGAATTATTAACGTTTGGCAATAGTTATTGCTCTTATAAATGCTTTACTATGGCTTCCAGAAATATAGGACAGCCAAATACAAACCAGAGCCTTCCCAAGGTAAACACCCTTTCAGTATCCTAATTATGGCTGAATGTCACTCTTATAAGTTTAAGAGACAAAACTCACACCAAATGAACATACACATAGAAAATCATTCAATGTTCTGGATTGTCGATTGTGCATTGGAGTCGCTCATTGTTGCCATCTCAGAGTAATTCATGCCTCTTATTTCTGTCCCTCATTTTCAGAGTAATTCATGCTTAGATTAGGGTTATGTTTCCACTAAAGATAAGTTATCAGCAATTAAATGAATATGAGATACATGTATAAAGTTTAGTGCCAGCTTGTGATAAATTCATTAATTCTATAAATATTAATAGTATATATTTACTTTTGTGAAGATGATATCTAGTGGGACATTTGTTGTTGTTTGCTCATTTACTCTATTTGAGGGACCAAAATTTATACTCTATTTGTCCGTAGTTATCTAGTTACCTTTTTTTTGTCCATCCCAAAGTTGTTTCACATTTCTTTGGAGGACAGCAACGTGTGGTTCACAATATTTCTCTGTTATAACTTTAGAACAAATCTCATTTACACAATTTCATTTTCTTTAGTTCCGTGCTCGGTTAGACTCGGCAGAAATTTTGGGACGGGGAGGGGGGGGGGGGTATAAACCAATGCATAAGGTTTAGGACTACTCATATGCCTTTCGGTATGGAACTTTATGTTTTAGTAGTATCTTTGTAAAGCACATTTCTTTCTAAACATACTCATCCAGAAGCTGTGCATGGCATTTTGTAGGAACCTCAGAAGATAATAATATCCTAGAGGCCACATCTACAGGCATGAAAACGTAAGTGTCTCTTACTCTCTCATATCCTATAATTCTATTGCCTCTATAAATTCTCGATGATTAATTGTTTAATGTTGAGTTAAAGATAAAAGTTGGGTTTTAACTTTTAAGTTTTAACAGGAGTATGGGTATAACAGAAGCACTACGGATGCAGATGGAAGTTCAGAAGCAGCTTCATGAACAACTCGAGGTATGTATAGTGTCAAGTAACCCATGAGGTTTCTCATATTTGCTGACTGAAATGTCTGCTTTTTTTATACCACAAATAAATTTTGGTTTCTTATTATGATCCGCTTGTTTGTAAAATCTCACTTGTAATGGGCAGATGATATCACTTGGCTGCAGCGTGGGTAAAATGGCTGTACAGGCTGAATAATATGTCTTGTTCATAAATTAAATGAAAATAATATCTGGAACATGAGGGTAGGAGAATCGTTTATGATTTATTTTCATTTTAATCATTAGCTAAAAGTAACTTAAAAAAAAACTTCTGCACTGTTTTTTCAATCTGCTGTTTCATAAAATTATTAGTTATTACTCATCAATGCAAGGGCATGGGTGTAGGAAAGGGGAGTAGGGCCAACTCAGGCCCCTGCATACCTCAAATTTGGTAAAACCCATTGTTTATGTGTAAAAAAATTTATATAAATTTTCCAGTCCAACCATATTTTCTCTCCATGTAAGGGTAAATTGACAATTTAACAAACTGAATGTGCAACTCATAAGGTACATCATGGTGGCCCTTTAACATTTTTTCCTTTCGGAAACGTTGGATATAGATATTGCCATTTGATTTTTGCGTGCTTAACATTGTGCATGGATATATCATACTAATAATGGGGTAAAATATCCATCTCCCCCACCCCACCCTCCCAGATACAAAGGAAATTGCAGTTGAGGATTGAAGAACAAGGGAGGTACCTTCAGATGATGTTTGAAAAGACGAGGAAGATGGGGGGAGAAGAAGTAAAAACACCGCCGCCCATCATATCTGATGAACCCACGCACTCTCCTTTATCAACTGGAGACAAGCAACTCCAATTGCCAGACAATGCCAACCCCAGTGATGAATTGCATGGAACTAATGCCTGCATTTCGGGCCAGAAAGCGGAACCAGGCCCTCAAGAAAGAGGTCGCGAGGGAAGTGACTCATTGGGAAAAGGTTTGGACTCAGCGTCATTGAAGCAAGTTAAAGTTGGTGAAACAACACCGCCACCTCAATAAATTCATGGATGGTTTTAGGACATTGTCTGAGAAATTTGAATCCCTGATTTATGTACATTTCATTAGGGCTTCTCTGCACCTTTAGAGTAAATTTATGTTTAGTCTAATAAGGACTGCAGATCTATATTTTTACATTTGATAACAATAATCCATCCGATGTAAAACTGCAATAAGAAGAAACCCCATCATCCACAACTTTGTTGAGATGTTATTTTTTGGAAAGTCTGCTTCCAGTGGCAAGGGAGTTTGAACTTTGAACTCACCTTGGCAATAATTAGAGTGGGGAACTTGTCTGCTCTTAATATCTTAATTTGTTGGACTTAATATTTCCTGCCCCAAAATGGCAAAATCCTCACTCAATATCATGATAACGGTGGACCCGTTTCCGGAACTAAACGGATAAATCAACCGAACAGATACTGGTTTTCTGGTTCTGGACTGGAACTGGTACGCGAAATCAGTCCAGTATTAGGATGTTTTCTGTTGGACTGTTTTTAGTCTCAGACCAGACTTAAACAGACCAGACCAGATCAGACTTAAACAGATCAGATCAGACATTCATAATTATTAAATACACAGAGATCAGACGTTTACTAGACAAGTTCAGACTGTTCAGACCAGAATAGACTTAAACAGACTAAATCAGACCAGACCAACAAATTTCTGTCCAAAAGAAAACATCCTTACCAAACAAGGCCATAACTGATTGGCCCATTATGAACCATATCCTGGACCTTCATCCATTTTTTAATTGCCAACTCAATTGCATTACGTTTACTCTTTCTCGTCTCATAAAATTTTTCTTGGTTTGATTTGAATTAGAGTTTAAGAAAAAGGGAATAAAACGGAAACGTGTGATTATGATTGAGTAAGAAAAAAATAAATCAATGTTAGCAACACAAAACTTTCCTAAAAAGAAATGAGAAGAACTTTTTGGGACATCTCAAATTAGTAAGTAATAAGAATTTTATGGAACAAATGGACTATTTTATTTTGCATTTGGAGATGACACTTCCATTTTAATAATGCATTTAAAGATGTGGAAGTGCAATGTAAGGAGATGCCTTATATCTGTAAAAGAAAATAAGTAATAAGTGAAAATTTATTATATTCACACTTAAGTTATGAAATATTTTTTGTTGACAGCATTTATTACTCCGTAGTACATTTGTCCAAACAACTGGCGTTTGAAAATAAATGAGTCATGCGTTGCTTCATCAAGTGTAAATTTATTTTCGAGTCTCTTTATACATCCAAGATTTAAAAAAAAAGGAAAAAAGTAGTGAAAAATATTTTAAAAGTCTGTGGACTGTCAGAAATTAGCAGAATTTCAAGCTTTGAGGTGCGTTTGGACTTTTAAAAAGGGGATAACGAAAGCAGGTTGGTTAGTTGTCCGGTTATGGGCCCCGCATTTCCTTACTGGAGCGCGAACAGCAACGCCATGTCAGAAGCTTTTGCGGGGTATTTAATAGCTGACTCAAAACTTCCCAAAGTACCCCTGTTCGTTATTCCTGCCTTCAAGTTCCAACCACTTCCAATCATCCCAAATTTGCCACGTCAGTGGTCGGACTCCCACCCCCACCCTGCAAACCCCATCCACTTCACAATCTTCTTGCTCACAGTATACAACAAGAGAGGGGGGAAACAGAAATCTTTAATGATAGAGATTGAACAAAGATTGTATTTTTGTTTCAGTTTCAGGTACACATTATCTTTACCTTCTTTAATTCTTATTGTTTCTTATAACGTTTATTGGGTTCTTAATTACATATTGTAATGTGATAAGAAAACCTTAATAAATGTATAAAGGTGCCATCTTTTGTGAAAATATGGCAATTTTGCATTGTGGGTTTTAAAATTTCTGCAATTCAATGCTGAAATAGAGAAATCTTGGAAAGTTTATTTTTTGTGAAAATATGGCAATTTTGCATTGTGGGTTTTTAAATTTCTGCAATTCAATGCTGAAATAGAGAAATCTTGGGAAGTTTATCTTTTTATAGCCTCTGTAATTTTCTGTATCGAAATCAGTGTAATTCCCATCTCTCTCATTTGCTCTTCAAGCAATGTATTAATGTAGCCTGTCTTGGTTTACTTATTTGGCTAAAATAGGTTACCAAATGTGTATTCTTGCTGGACATTACATTCAGTGGGTTAGGTCCTTTTAGCCAAATAACCCTCACCAAACAGTCCCTCTGATCCCCTCTCTTTCTGTCACTCTGTCTTTACAGGAATGGGGAGGAAATCAAGCTGGGTTTCTGCTTTGAAGAAAGCTTTGAGTTCAGAAACTAAGAAGAAAGATAAGGTCCACATTCACTCTAATTTCTACGTATCTTTAAGGCTATGTTTGGATCCTGGAAAATTCTATAGAAAGGAAAGAAAAAGTTAAAAGAAAGTTATTCTTATATATTGGGGTTTACCTCAGAAAATGCAAAAGAAAATGAAATGCTTCTATATTTTGTTTGCATGTGTTTAGATTGTTTACTACTATATGATAGAAATGAATAAATGAAATGAACACAAAGAATTCTTCATCATCATCGTTACCCCAGTGCCGCAAAGGCACAAAGAGTTGGATGTATGTAATATTACCCCTGTACTAAAGCACAAAGAGATTGTTTCCGGATGACCCATAATGAAAATTGCATCAAAAAATGCATGGACTGACAGTTGTTTCATAACAAAGAAGCGCGGACAGTGTAATGAGCCATTTTGCTTTATTTCATCAAATTCCCAAGCCAAAAAATAGTGAGACTTTGGCTCCAATACAAAGAATTGTTTAAAACAAGTTTTTGAGTTTATAAGAATGTTTTACTTTTATCAATATTTTCTTTCCTTCCAAATTATCCTCTATTTTCTCTCAACTTTTTTGTAGCATTTCCACATTCCAAACAGACCTATAGTGCATTGTGTTAAGAATGAATATGCCCTCTTTATAGCTCTTTTTTGTTGAGTTGGGTTCAACCTTATTCTTAACATGTTTCAATAACTGTTATTACTAGGTTGTTCATAAATCAAAATGGTTTGGGAAAGAAAAGAGGGCAGATTTGGAAAGCCATGTAACCATCCCCCCTACAGACCGAGTGAAATTGATGGAAGCGAAGAATGAACAGAACAAGCATGCTTACTCGGTAGCTATAGCCACCGCCGCAGCTGCCGAAGCGGCTGTTGCAGCCGCTCAGGCGGCTGCAGAGGTTGTTCGCCTCACATCTGCAGCCTGTTACTTGGGTAAATCAAACAAAGAGATGGCTGCTATCAAAATACAAACCGCTTTTCGCGGATACATGGTCTAACATTTCCTATGCAACATCTTTCTCCTCAATCTATTGGTCTACTTAAAATTTTAGTTGAGATTGTAGAAGTAATTATATAATGGAATGAACAATTATTTTTATTCTGCTGATAATATAGAGTACATATGAAATTTATGTAGGATACATGAGCCTATATGATAGAAAAGTGAATCCAAAACGAAAGAGAATAACAATATCGTAGTTCGTAGGGAAGAGGAAAATCACTCATTAATAAGAATAATAATATTTATTAATGTATAATATTCCTAATACAGAAAGATCATATCATTCAACCTGGTTACCTATTGTGAAGGCTAGGAGAGCATTGCGAGGTCTGAAAGGTTTAGTGAGGTTGAAAACAATGCTTCACGGGCAATGTGTGAAACGACAAATCGCCTCCACCTTAAAATGTTTGCAAACAATAGCTCGTGTGCAGTCTGAAGTTCGCTCTACAAGATTAAGAATGTGGGAGGAGGAAGAACATGCTCTCCAAAGACAGCTCCAGCAAAAGTGGCACGCAAACGAGATTGAGAAATTAAGAGTAGTTGTGAGTGGTGACATCATTTTTAGTGGTATTTGAGTTCGTTGAACATGTAAACCAAACCAGCTAAAGATTGCAATGTAATTTTCAGCATTGCAGTGAATATTGGGATGTTAGTGCACAGTCTAAAGAGCAGATTGAAGCAAAACTGCAGAATAAACACGATGCTACCAAACGTAGGGAAAGGGCATTGGCTTATGCTTATGCTCATCAGGTATATATGCCTTCCTTTACATATTTCTGTGTTTGTCGTGAAAAGCTTTTTAAGAGTCTCACATATAAATACTAAAAAGGAACACACGCGTTTGTGAGATTTTGAGTTAAACTAGCCAATCAATCAATTCAAATTTTAGCATTTGTTTAGTTGGCAATTGGTGTAGAGGAAAGAAATGCAATAGAAATAAAGAGGAAATGAAACATTTCTCTCATTTGATGAGAAGTGAAATGAGAGGTTGAAAATGAAAATGGAGAGGACTTTTAGAGAAAGGAGTATCATTCTAAGAGTTTTTGTTACTTTTAATTTAGTCCGCTTATTATTGTATGACACTCTTGGTACTCGACTTTGAGTTTTTTCACTTTTACTTATTCCTTGTTGTGAGAGAGGCATGTGATCCTCAACTTTAAGTGCTTCCGTGTTAATCCTGACTATTGTGAGAAAATGATATTGGAATGACTAAAAAAGTCACTTTTAATAAAAGTCGAAAGACTAAATATGAAAAGTTTTAAAGACGGGTATCAAAAGTATCTTGTCACAATAGTGAAGGATTAAATATGGAAAAGCTCAAAGTCAAGTACCAAATGTGTCACTGTCGGAGGACTAAAATGGAAAGAACTCGTTATTCTAACTTATTCTTATCCATTTCACTCTAACCAAACAAGATACAAAATTTACCCTATGCGTCTCCTCTTAGGGAGTGTTTGCAACTGCTTCTGCTTAAAAAAAAGCACTTTTGGAGAAGTAATGAAAAAGTGATTGGTAGTAAAAGTTGATAGTGTTTGAGAAAAAAGTGATTTTGAAAAGTAAAAGTTGGTAGTGTTTGGTAAAATAAGTGCTTTTTGTGTAATAGAAAAGGGAAAAGCACTTTTCACACGCAAGCCGAGAAAAAGTAAAAATTGGTAGTGTTTGGTAAATAAGTGCTTTTTAAAGCCAAAAGCTGAGAAGTGCTTTTTTTTAAGCAGTTGCAAACACTCCCTTAGTCTATTCTCCACCTCTTTCAAACAGTCTTTTCTAATTCAAAAACTAAACAAAAGATTTTGACCATTTGAACCATGTGCATTATGACCCAATTCAAAAAGGTTCCAGAACAATTGGTTCCTAGTCACGTAAAGGGTGGAACACTGGAATTGGAACCGAAGCCGTGACAGTTCCGATTTCTGTTTCGGGGAACTGGTTTGGACTGATCTCAAGTACCAGTTCGGTCTATGGGCAAAAGGCCGATCTGTCCGGTTTCAGTAAGAGGGCCAGGTTCACCCCTAAGTTGAATGATCTCATCACAGTTTCTTTGATTGTTCTAACTTCTTCTTACAATGGCAGACACTGAGGAACTCCCCAAGATCCATGAACCAGACGATCATGGACCCGAATAACCCCCATTGGGGTTGGAGTTTGTTTGAGCGGTGGATGGCTGCCCGACCGCAGGAGAGCAAAAGCTCTTCCTGTAATGAGCTAACAAATGCTTCTACTCCATTACATAGACCAAACAAAGAATACCGCTTGCATCATAGCTTACAATGGCCTTCTACACCCACCACTAAGTCCAAAAGAATGAGGCCTCAAAGCCCGAGGACAGGCTATGCAGACGACGATTGGAGAAGCATGGGGAGTGTTCAATCAGAACGTTGCCCAAGGTATAGTATTGCAGGGTCATCATCAATGAGAGATGACATTAGCCTTACCAGTTTGCCCGCAATTCCCGGTTATATGACTCTAACTGAATCAGCAAAGGCAAGATCACGTTTTCCAAATCACTTGTCATATTCTGAGAAGGGAACATCAATAGGTTCTGTAAGTAAACGTCTGTCTTTCTCCGGATCCTCTGGTGGACTAAGAAGCTGTTCCGTTCACCTGAATGTTTCTGATCTGAATTTTTTAAGTTCTGATCTGATCTGATCTGAATTTTTCTGATCTGATCTGATCTGATCTGAATCTTCCTGATCTGATCTGATCTGATCTGAATCTTTCTGATCTGATCTGAATCTTTCTGATCTGATCTGAATGTTGCTGAACTGATCTGAATGTTGCTGATCTGATCTGATTTGATCTGAATGTTTCTGATCTGATCTGAATGTTTCTGATCTGATCTGAATTCTTCTGATCTGAATCTTTCTGATCTGATTTGAATATTTCTATAATTGTAATTGTAATTACAATTATAATTATTAGATTTATAATTGTAATTAAAAATATAACTTAAATAAAATTACAATTATAATCATAATTATAAAAAAATAATAATTAAAATTAAATTTAAAATTATAATAATTATACAAATTACACTAATTATAAATACAGATACAATTATAAATGTAATTATATTTTTAATTATGATTAATTTTATAATTATTATTGTAATTATAATTATAATATTTATTTCTATAGTCATAATTATGTCTATAATTACTAATTTAAATATATAATTACTCCGAAGTAATAATAATTACAACAATAACAACAAGAACAACAATCATATTAATAATAATGATGATTATAATTATAATTACATTGTAAATCATAATTATAATTATAATTATAAATATATTATATTATATTATATTATATTATATTATATTATATTATATTATATTATATTATATTATATTATATTATATTATATTATATTATATTATATTATATTATATTATATTATATTATATTATATTATATTATATTATATTATATTATATTATATTATATTATATTATATTATATTATATTATATTATATTATATTATATTATATTATATTATATTATATTATATTATATTATATTATATTATATTATATTATATTATATTATATTATATTATATTATATTATATTATATTATATTATATTATATTATTATAATATAATAATAATTTTATATTATTAACATTATTATTATATTATTAATAATAATATTATTATATTAATATATTAATATTATTAACAATAACTATAATATAATAATCATAATTAATATAATAATAAAAGTGATAAATCATGTTTGAATTTTTTGACCTGATCTGATCTGAATGTTTCTGATCTGATCTGAATGTTGCTGATCTGATCTGAATCTTTCTGATCTGATCTGAATCTTTCTGATCTGATCTGAATGTTTCTGATCTGATCTGATCTGATCTGAATCTTTCTGATCTGATCTGATCTGATCTGAATCTTTCTGATCTGATCTGATCTGATCTGAATAAAATAAGATTAAGGAATAAGTAATAAGATTAAGACGAACGGAACAGCTTCTAAGGAGGCATTCTGTTCCATCCAAGGCAGATATAAGCTTTGGTAATTACCTTAAAGTAGTTTCCTAAGGGCCAGTTTGGACGGAGGGGTTTTGGAGGGAAAGTTTGATGAGTTTACTTGGTTTAGTTTATATCTTCATGTATATAGAATGTTAAAAGATGACTCCAAATGTTATATGGCCATATTTTATGTTATCACTTCAATCTATATAAAACTTCAACTAGCATCTACGGAGTATAATTGTACACTTTAAAATATAGAATTAGCCTTCCTATGTATGCAACAACCACATCCAAGTAGGGGTGGGTTCGTAGAACCGAAAACCGAAAACTGAATCAAATCAAATCAAATCAAACCGCAACCAAATAAACCGAACCAATGAAAAACTGAAACCGAACATAAAAAACCGAACCGAACCTGTTTGGTTATGGTTTCGGTTTTGACTCCTCAAAACCGAACCGAAACCAAAAAAACCGAAATATTTAAAAATATAAAAAAATCATTTATTTTATATGGAGTATATGGCCGGCCGCCGGCCGGTCATGCGTATACTTATTCCAGTTGATGAGGATGGGATATGCTTGAAGAGCTTATATATTTGTGGATGAGGATGTTCATCATTTCAGTTTAATGCATTTGCTTTTTGCATTTTATTTTGGGACTGCATTTTATAGTTGGGACTGCATTTTTTCATTTTAGTTGGGACTGCATTTTATTTTCATTTCAGTTGGGACTGCATTTTATTTTGCTGCACTATATCCAAGTTTACTGCACTTAACTTTTAAATGTCATGTACTTGTTTAGTGCACTTTATTTAAATTGTAAGGCAGTGATTGACTTTCTTCAATACTTGTGTTTTATTTTCCTGCACTTTGGTTATTTTGCACGTCATTTCTTTGTTCATAAAGTATGTGTCTTTTGGTTTAAAAACGAAAAAACTGAAGTCGACCCGAACAAAACCGAACCGATTCAACCGTGGTAGGACAAAAAATATGAACAAACCGAACCGAACCGAAGTTTTTAGTTTGATTCTACATTTGGTTTTAGGTCAAAACCGAACCGCGTAAACCGAACTCACCCCTACATCCAAGCCTTCATACACTTTTTATATTGCTTCCAAATTCCTACAATGCTCTTTTTATTAAAGGAAAGAGTAGGTCATATGAATGTCTAAATGTTTGCATAGTAATACTTAAACTGAACTAATCTAATACTGAGAGAAAAATAAGGTCATGTACACGGAACTGAATTAAAAATAGTTTTTGCAATTCAAGAGTTATTTGTGCATTGAATTAAAGTTCTTTTGTTGATAATTCTTGATCAAATTTCAAATACGTAAAGTATGATACCCAAGAAATATGGAAAAATGATTTTTTGATTATGTAACAGGTCTACTTAGTCTTTTTATTATCATTTAGAGTTATTCTTACTATAATATTAACAATTAACTCTCTAGTCCTTGGAAAATTTTAACATTTGCTAAATAAATACCACTCTTTGGACTATTCTCACTGCTTATCAATTCCGTCAATATTTATCTCGTTTAAATTTTTTTAATCCTCAAATCTGAGGAGGTCTAAAATTCATGTTCTTAAGCGTTGAAATAAGTCCTTGGTTTAAGTTGCGGCTTCTTTGTTACTCATGGAAGAAGTATAATTGGGTGAATATGAGACAACGTTTGTTAGATTTGAAGTTTATATAAATGAATGCACGACAAATCTAATTTGGTAATGAAGATTATATAGAATATGGGCTCTTAAAAGTCAAAACACTTCTCTTCATCAATATAAGTCATGGCTATTTGCAAAAAAAAAAAAAGGCATGGCTTTTACCCGTAATTCATCCATATCAAGTAATCTCACGAGTAACGATAAAAAAAAAAAGTAATCTCACGAGTAGCAAGAACAATGAATCGTGAACATTAACCATGTCTTACAAGTATGATGATGAATCATTTAGACTATTAACAGTGAATATTAAGGAATTGAACTGTTTTACAATTAGATGAGATGAATATTGACAGAAAGTATAAACATTGAGAGTAATCGGAACTCAAAGGTGAGTACTTGAATTTTAAAATTACAAGGTTGAACTAGCAATTATGATCTACTTCAATGGGGAAATAGTAAATTTTCTAAAAGGAAAATGCTACATGTGCAAACAAACATAGACTATTTTTGACAAACCCTCATTAACTAATTGCCAAATAAAGTCCTTATGGCCTTTCAAAAAAAAAGTCCTTATGATGAAACTTCATCAGTCATAATATGGAAAATTGGTACAATATTTTTATTCTCTAAGATATACTACATATATGTTGAACTCAAAAACTGTGGAGTACTATATATGTGTTGAACTCATAATCATTATAAACATGAATATTTCTCTGATGGAACTATGGAAGTATTAGAAGAAGAAAGGAATAACGCATGCTAACTTTTGAAGCATAGAATTTTCCACATCCATATTGGATCAAACGCATACTACTTGTAGAAAGTCTCCCACATAAACTTGCATAACTGCTGCACTCATTCATGGTTATATCACAGACAGAAAATCATAAAAAAGCTAACCCAACAGTAATAACTAATGAGAGGCAACTTATTCATTGAAAAGAGCAACCGGATACCCCTCTAGTTCTGCTAATTTCATTATCTCCTCCTGTAAAAGGAAGGAACAGAAATGAATATCTACTTTGTTCTTGAATCAGTTCAACCTCTTCCATTACAGGAATAAACCCAAAAAAATGTTTTGAGAACGTTAGAGTATACATATCCAATCTAAAAAAAGTGGCACTCACACTCCCCCGGTTCCACCATAACTCCGTTGAGATGAGTTCAAATTCACATATAGATTTGCATCAGAGCTGGTACTATTCTACTCTTTTTCTACTTAATTATTTTTATTAACAGAGAGATGATAAAGTGAAATGTGCTCAATTACCTGAATGAGCATTGTGATTTTCCCAGGTGTACCCTGCTATTTATGCAAGACATCAGGAAAACCAACTTGACTAGTATAATAATGAATGTAAGGCATATATGAGTAAAACATACTTGTAGAATAATGAAAGTAAGGCATATATGAGTAATACATAGTAACATACTAGTACAACAGTATGTACAAACAATGGTACATACTATTTTGTACTCCCAAAGGCTTAGTTTCATTATTATACTACTACCTCCATCCCACTAACATTGGGACATGAGCGAGTGGTACGCTATTAAAAAAGTGGGTTTATGTGGTTGATATTGAATTGATAAAGTAAGAATAAAGTAAGAATGATTTAGAACCACACAAAACTTACCAAATTTGGTATGAGACAATATTAGTGGGACAGAACGAAAAGGAAAGATGAGACAATCTTAGCAAGGCGGAGGGAGTAGTATTTTTTACTCATATATGCCTTAATTTGTCTAAACATGCTAGTATAATAAAGAAATTAAGGTATGGGTGTAACATACTAACATACTAGTATATATATCATGTGCATAAATAGGAATATCATTCTGATGCACTACATCCGTCCCAAATTAATAAAGAATAAACTTTTGGGCTCGTAGATTAAGAAAATGGGATAAAATACCTAAACTACACTCTCCTTTTACTGTAGCAGTGAAAACCTAAGTAAAATTGGAATGTCAAGTTGTAGACATAAGGAAAAGAGTGAATATGAATGGTTTTGGATTACTTGCCAAAAAAGGAGAAGTAATCTTTATTTTGGGACAACCCAAAAAAGAAAATATGTAACTACTACGTATTATTTTGGGACAGAGGAAGTACTAAACATAGGACTCATTCAGTTATTTATAAATAGGAGTATCACCATAGGACTAAAAATAGGACTAATTTGGTTCTAAAAAATATAAGTAGTTAATAATTCATTTTTAGAAGTGAATGAGTCATATTTTTAGGCAAAATAATGACTAGTAAGTCCTATTTGAAAAAAAACTGTTACATTTTAGTCCTATTAATGGGATTTCCTAATCTAATAAGCAGGTTCGATTCCCATAGCCCCGGTGTGGAATTATTTTCCTTCAGGTGTGTGAATGGTACCTCGAACTTTTTCTCTTCCCATATGACATCATTCCAAGTTTTTTCTTCAAGTGATTCCATTGATTCTGGAAACCGAATTGTCACCACATGCTGCACTACTCTCAAGCTATCTGCCACACAGAAATAATTTCTAGCATATAAAAGCAGTGCATTGCGGATTGTCTACAGCTTAAAGAGAATCATAAACTGTGCAATGCAGTTCCATGATACTAGGGTGGTTGAACTCATCACGGCATAGCATAGCATACTTGTAATGAATGCTTCTGTCCATGTTTCACGCTTTGACCATGATGGTGCAACTTCTCGGAGCATAATTCCATTTCTTGAGCATATACTGCACAGGGGTATAATTATAGTTCACTTCTAACATCATGTACTTGATAAGTTATTGATGAACTCAATCTACAATATATATGCCTTGGATATACCTACTCATCTTAATTGTAGCAAAAACTTCCGAATGAAGAATGTAGGTTCCATAGAGTAATTATAGGGTTTCAAATATATATAAACTAAACCAGGAACTCACCCAAGAATTACTTGGCGTATAACTCCTGGAAGAACACCATCACTGAGGGGGGCTGTCTGTATTTCAAAACAGTTTGTATTTCCTTTTTCTTCCTGTCCAGCAACAGAAGTCTTTATTAATATCCAGATTAATTATAAGTGCATGTTAGGAATACGACGTTAGTTCTATCAGTGCAGCGCAAGTCATCAAGATTAATTAGTGTTCTTAAAATTTACATATGCAATTTGGATAAAATTTCAGCAAGTCAAGCTACATAGAGACCACTAAGAACCCACATATGTTTCCAAGGACCAACCTAACTGTCATTTGCAGTGGTCATATAATCTCATGTTAGTGGCATGTAGCAATGGTCAACTGATCAAGTACCTTGTATGCACTGTATTTAAAAGTTTAAAATATTCAGACTTTTAGTAATTGAAAACCCATTACTTTATCCTCTCACCTTGCAACAAACCACAAAAAAATTTGTCAAACAGCCCTCCAAAATTTTATCTCCATTATTGGACAACAAGAGCTCATTGACTGAAGGAGGCCTCAACTTCTCCAAGCACTTCCTCTGCCTACCAAAAATATACAAATTAAAACAAGTACTTAATACTGATGCGATAGAAATTTGAATTTATTAAGTAGTACCTTACCCAGTCTGAATATTTTGCATTTGCTACCTCTCTTCCACAGCCAGCAACTGCCAAGTGTGCCCCGTTTTCTGAAATTCCAAATATTTTAGGAACATATCCACTAATGTGCACATACACATCAAACATTCTCGAGATGTTTTCCTCATTTAATCTCTCTAGATCCCTAAAATCTTCCAAATTGCCACTGACAAGAGATGTGATGGCTAATTCCTCCTCATTTTCCCTCTCTGTTAGCACAGCAGGCATAACCTTTCTCATTGAGTCATTTACCAGAGACTGAATTAGTGAATCCCAAGTGGGCGAGGCCATTGACATTGAGGAGTATGAAACAGCATATGTTGGGACTTTGAACATGAGTTTTGGGCTGGAGTGTAGCAGAATACTAGCGGAATTTGAGAGTCTTCTCAAGTGCCTTTCCCAGAACAAGAGCTTTGATCCATTGTGATGAGTCCGGGTGGTTGTGTATGCACCTGAAACCAAATAACCAACCACATTTTAATGTCTTGCCTTCTGGGTTTATGAGAATACATTTCAAGCCATTGAAAGGCGAATGCAAAACCAATTAGTTGTTCATTAGGGTTGACCTGAAGATAAGCATTGAAAGAAACGAACAATTTCTCTTGAGTGGCAATGCTCTCGTTAAAGCAAGTAATAACCACATAAGGCACATTTATTGAAATGAAAAAAAGGTTCATACCCGGGTGAGCTTCGAGTAAGGTTGCAACAGATGGTGTTTCAGCAGAAGTTGAAATGACACCATTTGTGAAAAGAATTTTGCAGCAGTTCGACATTACTGTCTCATATGCTAAACATGAAATCAACTAACTCACTTGGCGTAACAAAGCTTTAGACTTTAAGCTAACAAAACAACTTATGTAGACTGGCGAACAAACAAGTGCATTTTCTGCTAAGCGAATCAGCAACCACTTATTTATTTTTGGAGGGAAATGAACCTGTCACCCCTCTTCATGTCTCTTTCAGGCATTTCACCGAACAGGTTCTGGTAATTTTCCATTTCCTTGCTTTGTTTGTATTCAGCGGACTCAAAATTCCATATTACCCGGCCGCGTGAATCTGCCCTTAAGTTATTGAACATCAATCGTTCAACTTGAGGTATACTCCCTCAGTCCCTAATAACTTTGCCAAATTTGACCAACGCGTGGATTAATAAAGTAAAAACTGTGTGGTTGAGGTTTGTGCAGAGAAGAGAGAATTAACTGGAACCACAAATTCTTTACTTAAATGGGAAAGTGGCAAAGTTAATGGGACATCCAAAAAAGGAAAGTTGGCAAAGTTATAAGGGACGGAGGGAGTATCACTTCAGATCAAAACAAAAAGTGTCCAGTTTGTAACTTTGTTAGTGGGACGTCCAGCTTTGCTTGAGAAATCGTGACTTCACAGGTTCACAGGAATCACAGATGGGAAGTGATTTATCAGTTAGTCTGATTCTTTCCAGCGGTTTGTATTGCTGGTCTTGTACTCAGTATGTTTGGATTAGACCTGTACAAAACCGGGCCGGCCCGCCCGGCCCGCCCAACCCGCCGCACAAATTAGCGGGCTTGGACATATATATTTACCCACCGGCCCGGCCCGGCCCGGGCCCGGCCCGCAACAACATATGGGCGGGCTTGGGTTAGGGTGTAGGCCCGTTCGGGCCGATAAGCCCGGCCCGCTACATTTAGTATATATACATATATATATATATATATACTAGTTTTTGGACGCGCGATGCGCGTGTGGGATGATGCCCAATATATATCAGACAATGTGTATATTTTACCGCAATGGAATTGGAAATTTAAAAAAACTATGGTGCTTATTTAAGAAATGTATCATAAAACTGTAGGTGGGAGTGTGACTAAGTAGTTCCAAATATAAGCAATTGAAAGTACAAAAGTAAATTTTAATATGATGTATTAATGTATTAATAAAATGATGTGATTAGAACAATTACACATATATAATGTAATGAATTTACTTGTAAGCTAAATCGAATGAAAATAAAGGACATGAAAGTTTTAATAAAGAATAAAGGTGTGTGCAAAAACTTCAAAGCATTTTGTATTTTCGCAAGCATCGCATTGTAAAACCAATAGAAGCCAGTGGTGAGGATTAAAAGATAATACGTAGTATTATATTTGAAATTCAAGAGAAGACGAGAAGTTATAGTGAAAGTTGCAATTGATTTAAGTAAATGAAGTGTTTCAAGTTGGCCCCATTGCATTGGAAATTCACTATTCTAAGGTATTGTATAGATGTTTGAGAAATATGTAGAGCGGTAATGCGGTATTAGTGTTAAATATTGGTTGCAGTTGTTATTGTTTGGTTAAGGAAAATATGGTGTGTATGTCTTGCCTATCATTCTTTTTCCATTATTTGTTTGCTTGTGATTTAGAGCATCCTTTCAACATTGTGACTGAAAATTGAATCAATGAGAGTTGAGACTTCCATTTTTTGCCTTTGATGATGACATTTAGTCTTGCCCTGCAAAAATGTCAGACATTTAGGGTCTGTTTACAACAGCTTCTGCTTTTAAAAAAGTGTTTTTTTTAATGAAATGGGGAGAAGTGATTAAATAAAAGTTGATAGTGTTTGAGAAAAAAATGATTTTGAAAAGTAAAAGTGGGTAGTGTTTGACAAAATAAATGTTTTTTATGTAATAGAAAAAGTAAAAGCACTTTTGACGCGGAAGCCGAGAAAAATAAAAGTTGTAGTGTTTTGGAAAATAAGTGCTTTTTTAAAGTCAAAAGATGAGAAGTGTTTTTTTAAAAGCAGTTGCAAACCAACCCTTAGCTGGTACATTCATATCCATCTTTAACACATTTAGTTTTGCCCTACAAAAATGTCAAATAATTGAGTGTGAATACAATTATCCAAATGAGCCAAAAGGTAATAAATCAACTGGCATAATGTCCTTTAAAACTTTGTCAATTTTCCTTTTTTAGATGTCCCACTAACTTTGTCACTTTCCCTTTTAAGTAAAGAATTTATGATTTCTGTTAATTCTCTCTCCTCTGCACAAACCTCAACCACACAGTTTTTACTTTATTAATCCTCGTGACGGTCAAACTTGGCAAAGTTTTAAGGGACGGAAGTAGTACATGTTGAAAAGGGATGAAATGCAAGAGCACCCCCGTTTCCATGGAAGTAGTTTATAATACACTAAATCCAAAATTGCAGCAACCCAAGTTTAGTTTATACGGACGGAGTAATTTTTTAATTGATTCGTGTTGGACAAAAAACTCATCAAACAATGTCAAACTTTTAAGGTGGGGATTACTTCAACCCACACCAAACACGACATTATATTTTGGATTATAACTCTATCTTCCAATAACATCAACTCTATTTTTGTTTAGAACTCTATATTAGTATAGATATACTCTTAAGGTGCATACAAATATTACTCCGTAAAATTACTAAATTAAATATAGTAAACATATAAAAATTTAGATATCAGCTGAGACAAACTCGAATCGCATGTGAATAAAAAGAGTATACAATCATACAGACTTCATGTTACCTTTTTTTTTACTCCAGGGGGGTGGGGGGAGCCTGGAGTAATCAGGGCTGAAACCCACTCTATTGAGTTTTCAACCCTTGTGTGCCTAGCGGGATTCGAACTCGAGACCTCCCACTAGGCACGACAACCTCACAACCAGCTAAGCTGGAATGCTTGGTTACCTTTTGTTTTGTTTGCAATCGAGTACCGAAAATCATCATAAACGAAGTGCAAGTAGCTAAATATGTTGCCTGGAAACTTTTTTGCCTTTGTTTACAAATGAAGTACTTCATATGAAACTTTTTTTAACAACGTCTTCTTTAATATCGGTATCTGCATTCCTGGAAGCGACTCCACCCACGTAATATCAATTTACTACCTCTGGTCTTGAAAAATGCAATGATACCAACAATTAAGTATGAGACAGTCCCTGTTCTGATTTAGCCTCCATTTAAAAATGATAAGTTTACTAAATTCAGGTTCTATTTGATTATGGTTATTTTCTGCAGATAGAAGAATAGCATCCGTAGATACAGAAAGTGCGCTCAAGTTTAAAGACGTTTGTGTTTACTTGCCAAGCCCCGAGGCCCTGCCTTGCAATCCCATGGGCAGTTCACTTACCTGACCTCCATCCTTATATGCAGTGCAGCAATCCCTTCACATGATCAACACTTTTAGGCTTCTTTTGGATACTTTCCAAGCCCTTATCTTTAGCAGATAAAATAAATGTAACGGAGAGCATGAAAAAATTAAACTCTTTGTATTAAGATGAGGGACCTGATACAATGCAAGGGGTTAACTCCACAATTAATTAAGACATCATTCTCATTAAGTCCATTTAGCCGAAAGTAAACAGACTCAACGTCAAATAATAATATAGCCAATCGCCAACATCAGACAATCATCAATGTCTCATGATCCATATCTATAGCGACATCTTAATCTTAACATGTTTTAACTTCTTATAGGCAAAGCTTTGTTCACTTCTAAAGCATTTCTTAAGTTTGTAGTCTTACAACTTCTAAAATCTGTGATTCATACCACAAAAACCCCAAAAATAAAAAATAAAAATAGACGCAGAACTCCAAGGAGTGAACTCACAAGAGCTTGAACTATTTGTAAAACTGCATTTACTTGAATTTTTTAGCCCTGAAATATTAAAACTGCAACTTTTTTCACAAAAAGCAAACCGCTGCATTTTCCCCATTTTTTACAAAAAAGCAAAAAAATTCCTTTTTTTACCATCACTAATAAAAATTAAAGTAATAGCTTAGCAATTCTAAACTATTTGGACTTCAAAAAAAGGTAGGTTTTTATTGGTTGAGTGCTAGAATCTCTAACATGAACCAAGAAAGAAGTAGCAGAAGGAAGACAGTGATGGGAAAAAGTGTATTACTTTTAAGTTTCAACTTTTTAGGTACATGTGCTTCATTTTGAGTTTGAAAGGCTGAAAATTAAGTATAAATGATCTACACAAATATTCAGCATTCCAAATTAGTTTCCTGCAGTGGGTTGTTATAAAAAGCTTTGACAAAATAAAATCAGTGAAACTTAGAGAAGGTCAGAAGGAATATCCTAAACCGAAAATAATGCAGTAGGGATTTCATCAAGGTAGATTAATTTAAGCAAACAATTTCCAATTCCCAAATTAGGAGAAACACAGTAGGTGTTACTCAATCAAGCACACATTGTAGGTGAGACGTCTTTCTTCAATCAAGGGTTTTTTACATACCTTGAAAGTATGATTGAGATCGAACGATTAATGCATAACACTAAAACCAAAAATAGTTATAGAATGAAGAATAATCAAATCAAAAGTGGGAATTCAATTCAAAGACATAAAGAATTTCAAAGCTGCGAAACGATGGAGGCGAAACAAATCCAAAGCAGCAAAAAAAAAGACAATAAATATTAGGGAGTACCTTAAGGTCAACGCATCGCTAGAGTCTTCAACTAAATTACAATCCTGGAAATTCCAAATCAAAGCAGTGCGAAGAAGCTGGTGATTATGGTGTATTTGACTTGAATTTCTTCCCCTTCACCAAATCGTCTTCCACGGTGGATGGGGTTGACTGGCACGGCCAAACTGGTGTGGGTGTGCGGCTGAAGAAGAACGTAGGTAAAAGAGAGGCCAGGTTTTCCTGATGGCAAATAAGAAGCGTATTATTTGCCTAGATGTAAGGTCTATTGAAGCTGACGGTGAGAACGGAGATAAACAGATGGGAGAGGTTACAGACGGAAACAAAACGACAAAGTAATTTCCTTTTAGTGCCGTATAACTTGCAAAACAGGTTGTACCACCCAATTAAGCAAGACGATTACACCAACATTTTTTTCATTCCTTAAATACCCTTACCTTCATTGGGCATTATAAGCTTTTAAGATATATAGAGAGAGAGAGAGAGAAATCATCTCATCAGGCCGGCCTGACGGGCTGCCCTGTCCGGCCGAGCCCGTTTGGGCACCTTCCCGGTGGAATTTTTTGATGAAGTTTTTTGAGCGTGTTCCTCATCAAGTCTAGTTTGTCCATACCAAATTTCAGCTCAACATTCGATCGGGAAGGTCGTCAAATGATTTTTGCAAGTTAACTGGTCCGGAATATGTATTTTCCGGACCAGTTAACTTGCAAAAATGATTTGACGACCTTCCCGATCGAATTTTGAGCCTAAACTTGGTATGGACAAACTAGACTTGATGAGGAACATGCTCAAAAAATTTCATCAAAAAATTCCACCGGGAAGGTGCCCAAACGGGCTCGGCCGGACGGGGAAGCCCGTCAGGCCGGCCTGATGAGAAGAGCTATATATATATATATATATATATATATATATATATATATATATATATATATATATATACACACACTAATTTATGTATTTATTTACATGTACACTTGTATATTTTCATATTTACTAATTTATCTGTATACATATTTATAGTTTATTATGTTTAAATTT